TAAGCACCCTTCTGGCAAGACAGTGATGGAGTGAATGATGGTGAAAGTTTTTCTTTTTCGGGCCACCCTGCCTTGGTGGGAATCGGCCGGTGTGATAAAAAAAATAAAAAAAATATATATATAACCGTCATATATATATATGACAAATTGTTTATGGAAGACACGACACCATGAGCAAACCTCTACCTGTAACTACAAATTGGTAATTAAACACACACAGCTACAAAAAGCAATATACTGTATGTTCTTGGCTTAGTTTTGTTAATGTAAGGTGCAGGTATGGGTTGGGAGGGGGTAAAAAAAAAAAAAAAGGCCACATAAACTGAGGGACAAGCTTTTGGAAACTGACAAGTGACAAGTTTGTTCATATTTTCATAACGTAGCCAAATGAGGTTGCTAATAGTTAGTTTGTGGTTGGTTGTTGGCTTATGACACGAATTTGGGATGCAGAACTCCTCATCTCAGAAGGTCAGCCCATCTTCTGCTATGGTTCACATCACTCTGTGGGCATGGAGGAAGCTAATGAAGATAAGAGTACCCAATAGAAGCATATTTTATTATGGCATTATAGTGAAGAAAGAGTACAGTACAAGAAAAAAATAGCACCAAGTTCAGAAATATGTCAGCCAACCACAAGAGAAATGGCAGGAGAGGAAGTGACCAAATGGGCATAAAACCTACACCGGGGGGCTGGGGCCCTTTGATGGTGAGTTTTGGCCTTCCTTAGGTGCATGGCGGGTGTAGTAATCCTCGGGACGGGGAAGGGGAGGGCGTGGGGGAGGAGCATCATCCTGGGGGGAACCCTGGTCATCTAGACCATAGGGAGCTTCCCCAGATGACATGCCCACCCCAGGGTTATACCTGAACACAACAGCAGCAGTGGGTTATGGCAGTGCTCGGGGATGTTGTCAGACCATGCTCTCTCCCAAACCCTCATAGTAGGGGTAAACCTTTTTACCATATTCAGCTTATATTTTTTGTTTAATTATGCACTGATAATAAACAACAGAGCAATATATGAAACTCTATTCCTGAAATTATGATCTAAATGAACTGTAGCTTTATTTAGGCCTGATTTGATAAGATACCTCATTAATCCAAAATGTTAGATAAAGTACCAAGACCATCAATCCTTATTAAATCACTTAAGTGCAACTAAAAAAAAACAAAAAATAACAATTTGAGGGGATTAAGGAGGTTTTATTTAAAAGCAATTGCTAAAGAGGGTTGGAGAAAGGCACAGACTTTTATGAGTGCATTATCAAGCTTTGAACAAAACTGTGCCAAACCTGGTGAAGCAGAGTACTTTGCTAACCCATGGTTGTGTGATTAGACTAGGGTACAAAAAGGAGAGCAGCATTATTTAGAACCTACATATAGAGAAGCAAAAGTTGTTATTAAATGGTACTAAGTGAAAATATACACATGTGACCAATATTATTTTCAATGCAGTAAATGAACCTTACAATTAACTTTTAGTGATCATCTTAGAAATAAAACACTCAAACTGTAACTAGTCAGCTTCCAAATTATGAACTAATTATAGTGAGAGTCACTCGTTAATAAAACCAAGCATTATCTAAATGCATATTTGTAAAGATTATACTATTAAGGATTTTCAGTGATACGTAATAAATGAATAACGTCGGTTAAGAGTCTTAGAGGATAACTTACCCAGACCTCATGAGGTTGTTCTTAGCATCAGGAGTGTCTGGTCCATAAAGCCCCCGCTGGAGCTCTGAACGAGTGGGGGGCTGGACGTACAGATTTTGGGTGGAGTAGTTAGGTCGGGTGTCACTATATTCTGGATTACGAACATCTGTAACATGCATAGTTGTAAAGACCAGACATTCCTCTTCAATCTCATAAAAAGTCTGATATGCCATATAATTTGTTGAAAAAATGCATGCACACACACACACACACACATGCCTTTTTAGGGTGATAAATATCCTACTTATTCGACAATTACTGTATTTGTTAAAACATCCATTAGAAGGCTGAGAAAAACTGAACAATTTTGTCACATATACTAGAGAAAAAATTATGTATTTAGTCATTACAAAATACAGTGGACCCCCGCATAACGATGGCATCGCATAGCGATTTTTCCGCATAACGATTACTTTTATCGCAAAATTTTTGCCGCGCATACCGATTAAAAACCCGCATACCGATTTTCGTCCGAGACGCGTCCAATGTGCCCTCACATGTGCCGGCCGTCCCATTGTTTACCAGCCAGCCTCCGCGGTAACATCCAAGCATACACTCGGAATATTTCGTATTATTACAGTGTTTTCGGTGCTGTTTCTGGAAAATAAGTGACCATGGGCCCCAAGAAAGCTTCTAGTGCCAACCCTGTGGTAAAAAGGGTGAGAATTAGTATGGAAATTAAGAAAGATTTTGAAGGGTTTGGGGGTAACCCTGAGAAGCCTATGCCAGTTGTGGAATCCATTGTGCCTAATTCAAAGATTAAGGAAATGTGTGCACAGTGGGTTGAACTGCAAACCTTTATAGATGAAAATCACCCTGACACAGCTGTTGCAAGCCGTGCTGGTGACTATTTCAATGACAATGTTATGGCCCATTTTAGGAAAGTCTTGAAGGAACGGGAGGTACAGAGCTCTATGGACAGATTTGTTGTGCGACAGAGGTCCATGACTCTCAAGCTGGTCCTAGTGGCATTAAAAGAAGAAGGGAAGTAACCCCAGAAAAGGACTTGCTACCTCAAGTCCTAATGGAAGGGGATTCCCCTTCTAAACAGTAAGAAGATAATGCTCTCCCCTCCTCCCATCCCATCAATCATCACCAGATCTTCAATAAAAGTAAGTGTCATGTAATTGTGCATGCCTTTTTCAGTTTGTGTGTATTAAAATTAACATTTCATGTGGTAAAAAAAATTTTTTTTCATACTTTTGGGCGTCTTGCACGGATTAATTTTATTTCCATTATTTCTTATGGGGAAAATTCATTCGCATAACGATTATTTCGCATAACGATGAGCCCTCTTGCACGGATTAAAATCGTTAACCGGGGGTCCACTGTACCATCCTATTCTTTTGACAAGGATATAATGTAAATGAAATAAATCATGGAACTAGCAAAGCTTGAACCCATGGCAAGCGAGTCCTAAAACTCACAGGCCAGTGTGTACTTGTGGTACATGTCATAATTAAGCAGTACAGAAAAATAAATATAGCATACCCTTCACAGTGAGATCTGGAGGTGCAAGAACTGAGGGCGGTGGGTCTCTCCGTACTACCAGACTTAATCTTTCCTTCGTACTATCTAACAATTTTTTGGCCTCTTTCAAGGTAAGATTGTCAGTAGAGTTTGAGTTGATACGTAACAAGATATCACCTTCTTTTAAGCTGCCTTCCTTTTCTACTGAAGCTTTATTGGTAATCTCTTTCACATATATACGACAACCCAAGACTACGCCAAAATCTGGTGAATAAGAAAATGGTACTGGTTATGTACATTATAAAACTATATTACACTGCAAAATGTGGAGTACTGATTAAACATTTTTAATACATTAGTGATTAATCTGAAATCTGTGATACTTAAAACATGATAATATACAGTACTGTATTCACATTCTCTAACATTCACGTCTTACCATCTTTTTTCTTATTTTTTGTAAGGGTAACTTTAATAGTCTGAGCTTCTGGCGCTGCAGGAAGGACGATTCTTCGTTTAACTACCAGTTGAACAGCAGCTCCTGAATCCCGAAGCACCTGAACAGCTCTCGCATAATCAACATTTTCTAAGCTGATGCCATTAGCAGAAATCAGTCGATCGTTAATTCTGAAGGAAAGAAAATAAACTTGACTCATTTACACAATTCACATTATACAATGCTGAAAAACAAGCACAAGGACTGTGCAGCCTATATAGGTGCACAGCCCACAATGATATGAAGCAGTAGTATAGTATTTAACTTTTTTTAGGCACCGTTACCCCTTGAGGTAGCTGACAAAACTATAACCTCTAGTATTTCCCTTTAAAACAAATACAGTACATAAATAATAATAATACATACTTAACAAAATGTACACGACTGTTACAAAATCAGATGACATTAATTTAATACATTTTGAAAGGCCACTGGTTATGCAGAGGATTTTGGGAAGATTAGAACTTAATTACTTGACATTATACACTTGTATACTTGAAGTTGAAGCTGGATAAATTGATTTTGGATTTAAAGGACAAGGTCTGTTAAATCATAATTATCTGTTATCAAGATAGCACATGTACAACAGTCAAAATGTTCCACCTGCTCAACAGGTTTCTTCAGCTGAATACAGAGGTAATAACAGTAATATAATGGAGACAGAAACAATGGAACAGTAAATACAAGGTGATCAGTCCCTCAGCATTGAAGATGTAATTTTGAGGTAGTCAGTCCCTCAATTTTGAAGCCGAACAATTATCAAGACTAAGAGACTGGCTACCTCAAAATTACCTTCTGAAGGCTGAGGAACTGATCGCCTTGTATTAATGTCTCAATTGCTTCTGCTGTCTCATTATAGTACAGTGGAACCTCAAATATTGAACTGCTCCCAACTCAACCAATTATGCAAGTGTATTTTTGTATGTGCTTTTATATGTGTATTTTTGAGGGTCTGAAACGAACTAATCTAATTTACATTATTCCTGATGGGAATAAATTCATTCGGTAATGGCACTCGAACAGCCATCCGGAACGAAGAAAGTTCAATATTTGAGGTTCCACTGTACAGTGGACCCCCGAATAACGATCAGCTCCCAACTCGACCAATTATGTAAGTTTATTTTTGTAAGTGCTTTTGTAGGTGTATTTTTAGGGGTTTGAAATGGACTAATCTAATTCACAATATTTCTTATGGGAACAAATTCGGTCTATAACGGCACCCAAACAGACTTCTGGATTGAATTAATATCGTTATGCTGGGGTCCACTGTATTTCAATTATGTCAATTTAACTGAAGCAGCCTGTTGAGAAGGTGCAACATTTTGACAAGATACCCAACAGTTGCACATGTCTTCCATTACTATATTCTATCTATCGTTGCTATATTTGATGAGTTTCGAGACTTTCCTACTCCCGGAGCCAGGTCATGGCCAGGCTCATCCATTATCACTGCAGTCTGCTGGGTAAATTATTTTCAAATTACTAAATGGATCCAGAATTGTCAAGTATTGTTACAGTCAAGGAAAAGTGATCTCCTTTGGCTTTAATAGACAAATGACTTTAACATACACCCCTTCTCCCTTCTGTCAGTCTTAAATGAAGAGTTTGCTGTACATACATGCAACATTACCAGAATATAACAAAAGTTCTACATGATACATGTACAGAGCAGCAGCAACAATACTCACTGGAGCTTGCCCTCGGCAGGTCCAGCCTTGAGGACATCAGAAATGGCAATAGAAGGGTCACCATTAGTAAAGTGTGGGTTGTCTCTGCCACCGCTGACAGCGATGCCGAAGCCATAGCCGGGTACTCGTGTCAGGGTCACATTGTGAAACTCCCACACCACACGCTCTCCGCCCTGTCAATACAAAACACAGTGTTAGTAGGCTGTAGTCACAGTTGACACACCATTTATCTCATTAAATGGATACACCAAAAAACTGGTAATGAAACTGTAAGAATCAATAAGTGAAATAAAATTACACGTTACCCATGAGGTGCCTAAAAACGAATTAAAGGGTCACCGTCTCCCCACAGCCTGGTCTCAGACTAGGCCTCCTGATGGACTCATTAACAAGGCTGTTGGTGCTAGCCATGCACAGACTAATGTAGGTATCACAGCCTGGCTAATCAGGGGATAGCTTGAGGAACCTCTCCAGTTCCCTCTTGAAGACAGGTCAGCTGGTAATTTCCTTTACGTTTGAAGGGAGGGGGTTAAAATTCTTGGATCTTTGGCTCTTGAGTTATCTCTTTGGGTATTCACTGTACCCATGTTTATTCACTGTACCCATGTTTTTCACTGGAAATACTTTGTACTATCTGAAAAGCTTCTTGTTCTCACAGGGAGTAATGGAAGTGTACTGATTTTGGACTAATAGGTAGTAGGTTATTAAAACATTAAAATATTTAAGTAAATAGCAAGGCTCAGGTTAGCGTATGCAGAAGAGGGATTACTTCCCAGAAAATGTAGGCTTCAGGGATGTGTTATGTCACCATGATTCTTCAACATATACATAGATGGGGTTGTAAAAACAAGTGAATACTAGGGTGCTGAAGAGAGGTGTACGATTAAAAGATAATGAATTTGATACAACGTGGGAGTTGACATACTTGCTCTCTGGAGATGACACAATGCTTTTGGGAGCTTCCAAAAAGAAGCTGTAAAATTTCGTGGATATAGTTGTGAGGGTATGTAAAAGGAACTTTAAAACTGAACATAGGAAAGTGCAAGATGATGACAGTAAAAAAAAAAATAGGCAACGAAAAATTGGAGGTGGGGAGTATGGAGGAAACAAATGTGTTCAGTTATCTTGGAGTGGGTCTGTAGATGGATGAGGCGACTCATACAATGAACGAAGGGAAAAAAAAGGTGGGCTGTATATGCAGGTATCTGTGGAGACACATAACTTCATCTAAAAAAGAAAATGGAATCAACCAGTGTTTAATGGTATCAACACTAATATAGGAGTGAGGCATGCGCTTAAATACTGCAGCAAGAATGAGGCTGAAGGCAGTGGAGATGTCATATCTGAGGATGAGGTGTGGTGTGAATATTATGGGAAGAATGTGGAGCATAGAAATTAGAAGGGAGTAAGGTGGCGTGGGTTAATAAAAGTATAATAAAGATATAAAAACCTGATGTGATTTGGGCATGACAAAGAGGGTGTATAAATCAGGGGTTAAACTTAAAGGAAGGAGTAGTGGTCATCCCAGAAAGGGACGGAGGGAGGGGTAAAGGAGATTTTGAGTGCTAGGGGCTTGAGCATCCACAGGTTCGTGCGAGCATGTTAAATCAGGTGAGTATCGACAATTGGTTTTTATGGCTCTACATACTGTTGGAATGTGGGCAAGGTAACATTTATGAAGGGATTTGGGGAAACTAGTTAAATGGACCAGTCCTGGAGGTGGAAGTACGGTACCTGCACTTGAAAGGAAGGGTGGGGATGTCAGTCAGTGTAGTGGGTTACATGTATTTGAATGGTGGCGTTTCTGCACTTCTAGCAATACAGCTATTAACTGAATGATGGTGAATACATGCCCCTTAATTTGGGTGACACTACCTCGTTGGAGATGGTCAATGTTAAAAAAAATTGGACTAATCTTTCCAGAACTTTCCAGGTGTAAATTATGATGTACTGTATGTTTCTTGTCTACATTACATAGAGCACAGCTCAAGAGACTTAAGGGGTTCTCAATAATTTAGATGCCTGACTGAATATATGAGCACTGAAGGTTGTCCATACATTTTCCAGTTCTGTGACTTCGCCTGCCTTAGAAATATACCTGTGAGAACTAGTGGTACAGAGCATTATCACTGCCTTGGAATCTCATGTTTTGAAAGTATACTAGTTATCCAGCCTATCAACTTCCATGCATTTGTGACAGCAACACCGTTGTGATCCTTGAACAAGAGTCCCTTGCATTCATTCCTTTTCCATTCTGTACTCAGTTTCCGAGGGCATCACCCCCACAATCCGGTCCCAAACCAGGCCTCCTGGGCGCTAGTATGACCTATCAGGCTGTTGGTGCCAGGTGTAAAACCCAGCTAATCAAGAAATGGTTTGAGGAATTTATCATTTTTCCTCTTGACGACAGCTAGGCCAAGGCTCTTGACAACGAGCCTAGCCTAGCTCCAATAGAAAAACTTTTGAAGCTCATCAAAGGTACTCCTTTAAATGTGAAGGGTGTTAAAGTGTTTTGCTCCCCTCACACTTATTGAGTTTTCTCTTAGTGTGCCCAACAAGCACTTGCTTGGTCTTGAAATGCCTGGCCAAAAACACTGCTGCTATTAGGTAGGACTCAAAGGCCCACGTAGCCATCACACCCTGGCTAATCTGACACTTGCAGCAGGCACTGCATCTAGTTTCTCCTTTAAAAGTTCTATTACGTCCGGATATTACAAGGATAAAAACACAACTAGTAACTTTTGAATGATTAACGGTGCGGGAATGGCAGCTGCCCTGGGATTCAAAAATGGTTAAACTGTTATGGTACAATACACAATGTTACCTCAACACCTCCCCCCCAAACACACACACATGTATCACTAAACCCTGGAGATCCAGGACACAAAGTCCTCGTTTATATAAAACGCCATTCAAATGGTTTATGGCGGCCTTACCTCGGTTACACATTTCCATAACTATGGAATGACACAAAAAATGGGGAAAAAAAAAGTCAGCCAGATTACAAACACCAGGTATAACTAGAACACACGCCAGGTATAACTAGAACACACACCAGGTATAACTAGAACACACCTGGTATAACTAGAACACACACCAGGTATAACTAGAACACGCCTGGTATAACTAGAACACACACCAGGTATAACTAGAACACACCCATGGTATAACTAGAACACGCCTGGTATAACTAGAACACGCCTGGTATAACTAGAACACACACCAGGTATAACTAGAACACACACCTGGTATAACTAGAACACGCCTGGTATAACTAGAACACACACCTGGTATAACTAGAACACACACCTGGTATAACTAGAACACACCAGGTATAACTAGAAAACACACCAGGTATAACTAGAACACACACCAGGTATAACTAGAACACACACCTGGTATAACTAGAACACACACCAGGTATAACTAGAACACACGCCTGGTATAACTAGAACACACACCAGGTATAACTAGAAAACACGCCTGGTATAACTAGAACACACGCCTGGTATAACTAGAACACACCAGGTATAACTAGAACACACACCTGGTATAACTAGAACACACCAGGTATAACTAGAACACACACCAGGTATAACTAGAACACACACCTGGTATAACTAGAACACACACCTGGTATAACTAGAACACACACCAGGTATAACTAGAACACACGCCTGGTATAACTAGAACACACACCAGGTATAACTAGAACACACGCCTGGTATAACTAGAACACACACCAGGTATAACTAGAACACACACCTGGTATAACTAGAACACACACCAGGTATAACTAGAACACACGCCTGGTATAACTAGAACACACACCAGGTATAACTAGAACACACGCCAGGTATAACTAGAACACACACCAGGTATAACTAGAACACACACCAGGTATAACTAGAACACACACCTGGTATAACTAGAACACACACCAGGTATAACTAGAACACACGCCAGGTATAACTAGAACACACGCCTGGTATAACTAGAACACACACCAGGTATAACTAGAACACACACCAGGTATAACTAGAACACACGCCTGGTATAACTAGAACACACACCAGGTATAACTAGAACACACACCAGGTATAACTAGAACACACGCCTGGTATAACTAGAACACACACCAGGTATAACTAGAACACACACCTGGTATAACTAGAACACACACCAGGTATAACTAGAACACACACCTGGTATAACTAGAACACACACCTGGTATAACTAGAACACACACCTGGTATAACTAGAACACACACCAGGTATAACTAGAACACACACCAGGTATAACTAGAACACACACCTGGTATAACTAGAACACACACCAGGTATAACTAGAACACACACCTGGTATAACTAGAACACACACCAGGTATAACTAGAACACACGCCAGGTATAACTAGAACACACGCCTGGTATAACTAGAACACACACCAGGTATAACTAGAACACACACCTGGTATAACTAGAACACACAAGGTATAACTAGAACACACGCCTGGTATAACTAGAACACACACCAGGTATAACTAGAACACACACCAGGTATAACTAGAACACACGCCTGGTATAACTAGAACACACGCCAGGTATAACTAGAACACACACCTGGTATAACTAGAACACACACCAGGTATAACTAGAACACACACCAGGTATAACTAGAACACACGCCTGGTATAACTAGAACACGCCTGGTATAACTAGAACACACACCAGGCATAACTAGAACACACACCAGGTATAACTAGAACACACGCCTGGTATAACTAGAACACACACCAGGTATACTAGAACACGCCAGGTATAACTAGAACACACACCTGGTATAACTAGAACACACGCCTGGTATAACTAGAACACGCCTGGTATAACTAGAACACACACCAGGCATAACTAGAACACACGCCTGGTATAACTAGAACACGCCTGGTATAACTAAAACACACGCCAGGTATAACTAGAACACGCCTGGTATAACTAGAACACACACCAGATATAACTAGAACACGCCTGGTATAACTAGAACACACACCAGATATAACTAGAACACGCCTGGTATAACTAGAACACACACCTGGTATAACTAGAACACACACCAGGAATAACTAGAACACACACCAGGTATAACTAGAACACACACCAAGTATAACTAGAGCA